GCTTATTTTGTTTATTATTTGGGGGCATGACTGAAGCCAGTTGCAAACAAGCTTTTCTTTCCTCTTTTTTCCCCCATTAGCCACAGATTGGAAACACGATGAGGGGAGCAGCGAGGCCCCCCAGCAGCTCCCCCTGATCCTTCCCCTCCTGCACCAGGCATTGGCCAGAGCCGCGAAAAATCCGAATCCCAAGCAATCCCCTTCCAGCGCTTTGGTCAAACGGCACATGGAGGAATTAGCAACTCTCAATCAGAGTTCAGCGCCCAACTGCGATAGCGCGTCCGGCCCACCCTCGGCTCCCAAACCTCCCCCTGAGATCCCTAAGGGGGACCCCGTGGACGAGACGCGCTCCCCGCCCTCCTTTTCCAACTTGGCCTTTTATCTCTCGGACCCCGAAAGTTACGCGCTGGAGGTCTCCTCCGCCGTGGCCTGTTTGATGGGCTGCCCTCGGGTGTCTGACGGGGGCGTGGGTTTAAATTCGGACCCGTCGCCATCGGAGGGACCCGGCCAAGCTGTCGGAAAGGGCAAGGAGGCTCCCTTTGACGGACACGGGCCGAGCCGAGCCGCCGCCGCGTCGAAAAGCAGCCCAGCCGGAGAGCGATCCTTGCAGTGGACAAAAAGGAAATCCAGCCGGATCCTCGGGGCCACTTCGAAGAAGAAATGGTCGCCGTTGAAGATGTACTGCCTCCTGGAGAGTAGCAAGAAGAAGACGAAGGGGAAGGAGAAAAGGAAGAAGAAGAAGAAAAAGAAGAAGAAGAAGAAGAAATTGCCCAAGGAAGCCATGACCCTCAATAACCCCTTGGCTAATGATCCCGGATCCCCACCCGATCCTAAAAAGGCTACCCTCAAATTAAAAAATATCCAGAATCCACTGAGAAGGAAGCGGGGTGAGTGTCGCTTCAAATAATTTTTTATCGCAGGAAAGCCACAATTTTGGCTGGTTATCGTCACGGTCTTTTAACGACTCCATAATCCCTTGCGGATATTTAATGGCCGGATGCCTTTCCTGACACCGATGGGGAGTTTTTGTTCAGAAGACCTATTCTCAGTGTGGAAAGTGGTGGGATTCAAAAAAATTTTTTTTACTACTGGTTCTGTGGGTGTGGCTTGGTGGGCGTGGCATGACTTGGTGGGCATGGCTTGGGCGTGGCAGGGGAAGGATTCTGCAAAATGCCCCTTCCCTCCCCACCCCGCTAACCTGCTTTCCAGCTCCGTTCTCCTGTGCAGGGCAACCAAAGGAGACCCAACCGATCAGCTGGGACTCAATGCAAGGCAGAAAAGAGATGGGGTTGGCGGGCCCCAGTCAGAGGTAGGGTTTGCCCGGTTCTCTGAACGACTCCAAATTTCCGCTGCTGGTTCCCCAGAACTGGTCAGAACCTCTGCTACACGGTCAGAGTTACACACAATAGAATGGGCTCAGAGAAATATCTAGAATTGAACTTGCAGCCTCCTGATTGTGAGGTGAGAGTGCCACCTCTAGGGCACCACACTGCTTATCATCATCTAACAACCCCAAATCTCTTGCTGGGTGGAGTCTGGGCAATTGAATGGAGCTAGTGAAGTGTTTACTGGCCGGATGCCTTTCCTGTCACCAGTGCAGAGTTTTGTTTAGCAGATATATTCTCATCGTGCTCAGAAAGAGAAATATCTGCCTCTACCTAGAATTGAACTCGCAGCCTCCTGATTGTGAGGCGAGAGTGCCACCTCTAGGCCACCGCATCACTCCATAATTTCAGCTGATTGTGAAGCTATCATTTTACAGATAATCCTCGACTTACGACCGGTCACATAGTGTCCAAAATGACAACGATGCTGAAAAAAAAGGGACTGAGGTCTGGTTTTTCACACTTAACGACCGCTGCAGCATTCCTCATGGTCACATGATCAAAATTCAGGCGCTTAGCAACTGGCATGTACTTACGGCGGTTGCAGTGTCCCGGGGTCATGTGATCTGCTTTTGCGACCTTCGGATAAGCCAAGTCCATGTGGGGGGGAGCCAGGTTGTCTTGACCACCGTGTGACTTAACGTTAACAACCGCAGGGATTTGCTTCACAACTGCGGCAAGGAAGGTCGTAAAATGGGTGAAAACTCGCTTCATTCTCTTGCTTCTTAGCGATGGGAATTTGGGGCTCACTTGTGGTCGTAAGGCAAGGACTACCTGTAATTCATTCATATCCTGCCTTTATAATTCTTTACAAATTCGATATTCTTGTTGTGGCCTGTCGGCTGCCGGCTCTTCCAGCAGCCAAATCAGAGGAGGAAGAGGAGGCATGGGAGTCGGGGTCAGTATCCGGGCAACCTAAGAGCTCTGAGGGGGAAGAGGCGGAGCCTGAGCCGCCCGTCAGCCCTCAGGTGGAGAGTCAACAGCCCCCAGGTGTGGAGGTGGCTGATGTGGAAGAGGAGGAACAGACGGGTACAGTGCCTGACGTGTGGATGCTCAGAAGGCAGAGAGGAGAGGAGAGCAGTGGAAATCTATAGGCCGGCCCTTGGGATGGAAGAGCCACTGCTGCTAGCAAAGCCCCACCCGAGCTCTGGGGATAAAAGGCAGGGGACGGAGACGAATAGATGTGACAGACAACTATTCATCTCCATGCTGGACGGACTTGTTAGCCTGCGGTGAGAGAAACTTTTTGCCGAGGAGAGGAGAGCAGTGGAAATCTATGGGCCGGTCCCTGGAACGGAAGAGCCACCGCTACTAGCAAAGCCCCACTCTAGCTCTGGGGATAAAAGGCAGGGGACGGAGATGAATAGATGTGACAGACAACTATTCATCTCCCTGCCAGACGGACTTGTTAGCCTGCGGTGAGAGAGAAACTTTTTGTCCGGGCTGCCGGCCTTCCTAATGAAGGAATCTTTGAGTTAACTTCAGAGGGTTTGTCGAGTTTTGGGGAGCTGGCTCAGAACAATTCTGTTTAAACTTCGGGCTCTCCTTTTCCCGTCCCCCCAATCTTTTATGAAACCAGCCCCTCCCCGTTTCCACCCGATGCCCCCAATCGGCTGTATATTTTGGGGTGAAATTGAGGCAGAGAAACCCTCAATACGGTACGGTAGACTCTGGAGTCGCAAAACCCCGTCGGCTGGGTGGTTTTCGGTTAACCTTCCTGTGGTTTAGAGTGTTGTGTGACATCTGACGGGATGTTATTGGAAAGGCATAAGGCGGTTTAGCACAATAACGGTGTGGATAGTGGTTTAACGCAGGCAGAGGTGTTAGTTTGTGGGTTGTGGTTGTTTGTCTCTATCCATTGAATGCAAAAGGAAAAAAATAGAGGTGCAGTTCTGAGGAAAGAATGAAAAATAAGAGAGAAGCGGAATAAGTGGGATATATATTCACAGTCCTATATGTATCCATATCCATATTTATATACCTATGTCTATAGCTATATCATCCATCTATCTGTCATCTATCTATCATCTCTATATCTACATCTATCATCCGTATCTATCCATCTCTATCTCTATCTATCTATCTATATCATCTCTATCATCTATATCTATCATCTATATCCATATCTCTTATCTATTCATCCATCCATCCATATCTATCCATATCTCTATCTATCTATCTATCTATCTATCTATCTATCACTACCTACCTACCCATCCATCTATCCATCTATATCATCAATCTATTATCTATCCTATCTGTCTCTTACCATCTCTCTCTCTCTCTCCTAGATGGATATAGGATATTATCTATCCTCTATCTATC